CTATCGTGTAGTAAAACAAGACCTCCAAGCTCTGGTTCTGTTTTCTGGTTGAATTACACCTGTTTCAGTGAGTTGTGACAGCATAATTTTTTTATTCTGGAGCCATACTTCACTTCTGATCAATTGACACTGATACTTATGTGGTGTGTTCCTTGAATTTTTGTGCTGCCATAGAAGTGCAGGAAATTATCAGGACTTCTGGGCTAAGCAATCCAGTTGGTTTGCTATTCTGTTTTCAGCTGATTGTTTAAGCCAAAGTAATTTAAAATACCGATATAACAATATTCAGTTCAAGATGAAGAGGGAAAGGTTTGCAGTGTTTTTGAGTGATGCTTCATCAAGTCTACCCATTCTTTCCATCGCTATGGGAGGTGGAGTCTTGTAACTGAGATTCCAACCCAGCCCTCTGCAGGGAGGAGTGGAATTGGGCTGTGCCATTAAAAACATGGAAAAACAAAATCCAGTAGTGCCTTTTAAAGAGCTGTGAATGTGATGCTGATTGTCAAGGGCTGCGGGAGAGCTTTAGCTAATGAAAAATGTTGAGTGCTCCTCCCTACAATTAGACTGGCTGATGCTTTTTAAATTTAAGTCAGATTTTGTATATTGATCTCAGCAGCTGACCCTGTCAAATTGTAGAGGATAGGTGGTCGAGCTGTTTCCTAGTTCAGCACATGAAATACTCCACCTGCCTCTAGACCAAGTCTCTGCTTTATGAGAATGCAGAAAGCTTCAAAGTGCGCTTGAAATTATTAATGCATTTGGAAGGTATTTTATGTAAGATTGTCAGGGTTGATCACTGAGGTTCATTTAATTCCCCAAGATTTCTTGTTATGACCTACAGCACTGCAAGCTTTTTAAATGTTTATCATCATGTTATTTGATCTAAAGCAAAGTTCCTTGCCTGTGCAGGGTTAAAATAGAGCAAAATATGATGGAGACCTGTGGAGGTCTCTGCCTTTTTTTTTTTTTTTTTTTTTGGCAGGCAGGGAGGAGGCATCATCAGGTAGTTTTTTAGTCTGTTCCTGTGAGGAACAGGGGCAGCACTGTTGGCTCTTCTTTTGCCCTCCTTTTTGCCCAAATTAAAGCCTTCTGAGAACCTGCTGCTTCTTTTTTACCGGTGCTGGTGTTTCTCTACTGATATACTGGGTTTGGACTGGCATCCAGGTGGCTCTGTGGTTAATGCACTGCCTGTCAAATAAGGTAACACTTCATCTTTCACTGACTCTTTTCTTTTGGTAGCAGGGTGCTGAGGGAGAAATCAAGGATGGGGTCACAGAAGGAGGACAACTTCAGCAAGTGCACAGGAATCCTACCACCTACCGGCCCCGCTACCGCAGGTTGGTACCGTGTCCTTTGCTCGAGATTCAGGTCCTTCTGTCTCCTACACAGCCTTCTAAGTGCAGGGACACTTGTGCAAGTGGTAGGCACAGTGAGAAGCACTTAAATTCCTGGGAGAAAGGTGAGCCCCAGGAATAAGGGAAACAACTGGAGAACTTGTTAAATGTGCCTGTGTGTTGTTCAGAGACATAACTGGCCAAGGGAGGGCAAAGAATTCTTTGTATCCCGTTTCTTCTCGCAGTTGAAGGGAGATGCAGGGTCTGTATCGCTGCTGGGGCAGGGTGTGCTCTGTAACATTTCTTGTGGACTGCAGACAGTAGTTAATGCTCATGGAACTCAGTCCTGTGTGTCACACAAGCTTGGTTTTATGCCCTGGTGCTACTTGTAGGTATGGAGGAAACCTCACTATTCAGTAAACCTAAAGCTGTGTCCTACCTCTGACATGGGAGCAGGTAATCTCCTATAGGAGTATATCCTGGGTTAGGGGAGGGTATTGCTGTCAGCCAAGATGTGAATGTTAGGTTCCTTGAGAAACTCCTAAAGGAGAAGGTAACCAAACAGGATTATTGGAGTTAAGCCTCTCTAGAGCCTTTGGAGAAAAGGGGTGCTAAAGAGCCTGGAAACCTTCCAGAATAATAAGAAAACTCATCAGAATGATTGAAGAGTAACAAATGTGAGAAGAGTGAAATGACTGAGGACTCAGGCTGGGAGAAGAGACAAATGAAGGTGGATTGCAGAGGTCCTTGGAATAATGAGCAGTATGGAAAGGATGGCACAATTGCTCTTGCTTGTTCTTCTGATAAAAGAATATGCTACGAGGAGCTTTCAGGTGAAGGAAGTGGGAGACATGCTGAGAAACAGAGTGAGGTTCACTGAACTGTAGGACAGCCAAGGTTAGAATTCAAGATTCCATCTGGTTTGTTCAGATCTCTCTGTGGGCGCAGCCCAGGGCCCATGTTGCCTTTGCTGCACTGGTGCTCTGCTGACTCATGCTCAGGTTGCTGACTTAGGGTGTTGGGCAAGCAGCAGACTGCTGGAGCTTTTTCATGCCACAGGGTGTTGATGATGTTAAAAGCTTCCATCAGCTTTTAAAGGGGGAGACTGGTGAAACAACTAAAGAAAACGCCACTGTGATGTTTCTGGAAAGGCAAACTGCATCTGGCTCAGGAAATCCCCAGCGAGGAAGCCAATGGGAGGCTGGCAGGCAAAGACCCAGGAGTGGCTTACAGAGGGAAGTGAGATTCCCAAGGGTTCTACCATTAATTATGGTTGAATACAGCCACACCAAGGCTAACGTGGCAGAATTGGCCTCTGTGGCCACTGCTGGCTTGTTTCTTCTCCAAGAAGCCAGCGATCCAAATGGGATAGTGACATCTTTGTTGTAGGATACACTGATATAAATTCAGCAGTGAAGAGACACCCACCTTGCTTGTCTTTCCTCTCTGGCTCTGTGCCAGACAAACTCCAGAGGGATGGTTTGCTCACACTGGAGATCGTCTGAGGGTGGAAATTGGTTATGGAAGGCCTTGCTGGGCTAAAATTACCGTAGCTTAACCTTTCATGCCTATCACCCCTTTCCCCCACTCCTCAGAGGGCCCCCTCGCCCACGCCCTGCCCCAGCCAGCGGGGAGGCCGAGAACAAGGAGAACCACCACGAGGCCAACGCCATGGGCCAGCAGCCCCTTCGCCGCGGCTACCGCCGGCCCTACAACTACCGGCGCCGGCCCCGTCCCGCCAGCGCCCCGGCTCAGGAGGGCAAAGAGGTGAGGCCAGAGGGCTCTCAGGGGGATGGGACAGCTCTTCTGGGAGGAGAGGCTGGGAGAATCGGGGTTGGGCAGCCTGGAGAAGAGAAGGCTCTGGAGTGACCCAACTGTGGCCACCTGAAGGGAACTTGGAGGAAAGATGGGGTGAGACTGTTTCCAAGGTGACAGGACGTGGGGGAATGGGTTCAAACTGCCAGGGAGTAGGTTTTGGTTGGATATTAGGAAAAAATTCTTCCCTGTGAGTGAGGGTGGGGAGGCCCTGGCACAGGTTGCCCAGAGAAACTGTAGCTGCCCCATCCCTGGAAGTGTTCCAGGCCAGGTTGGATGGGGCTCTGAGCAACCCGGGATAGTGGAAGGTGTCCCTGCCATGGATTGGAATGAGATGATCTTCAAGGTGCCCTTCCAACCCAAACCATTCTGTGATTTTATGATTCCACGTGGCAGAGACTGAGGTTCTGATGGGGTCAGTGCTCAAGAGCTTCTGTCCAATATGAGTTTTTAATAAGTGTTTTGTTGGTGTGCTGTGGGTGAGTGGTGACCAGCTCTGAAGTGCTGATTTCCCTGCCTGCTGCTGACCCTCTTGGAGAATGAGCAGCTTATCTTAAATGGAACTGGCAGTGGGATAGGGATTGCTTCTGGAGAGTTCTTAATTGGGGTCACACTGTAGGGTCAGGCTGTAACAACTGTTTTTGAAGTGCAGAGAAACCAGTTGTATTTTCCAGCTTCCTCAAACCCTCAGTCTGCCTTTAGTATAAGAGATGGATTTGAAAGCTCTGGATCCATTTCCTGAACTGCTGGGACCGGATCATTTCAGGAAGCTGTTTGCAAACACAGATTTTACCTTGATGAGGAAAGATTTTCTCATTCTGTGTCTACTTGAGGTGTTCCCTCAATACAAAGAAATACACTAAAGTTTACAAGATCACAAAAATAAAAATTACAGAAATGACAAGGAATACACTTAATATTTTCTGGGGATTCATTTTTCTTAATTACTTAAAAAACTGAGCAATGCTGACTGTACCACTGAGTAGAGGCAGGGTCTGGAGGTCAGTTTTTGCCTCTAATCAGGGTTTATTGTGTCTCAGACAAAGGTAGCTGAAACGCCTGCTGAAACTCCTGCTCCAGTGACAGAGCAGAGTGGTGCTGAGTAATGCCCGGCTCCCCAGGCACCTTCACCACCCCTCAGGTAAGGAATGTGGATAGTTGCTGTTTCCCAGCTGAAGCAGAGTTCTGAGAGTGCTCTGTAGCCAAACCAAGAGCAGTTTGCTGCTTTTCTTCCTCTCTTCTCTGTGTCTGTCACAAAGTAAGACTTGCTTTATAATTGATTTTTTTTTCAGGGAGCTCTGTCTGGTCTATATAGTTACAGCATCCGCTGCTGATTAATAATTTTAGGGGATCCTGATGATGGACAGGATAGGCCAGTTGTCCTTATCCTTGTCTGCTGTAACCCTCTTTTCACCTGACATCTTGCCTATTCAATGATAAAATGAAACTTAAAACTGCATTTTTATTTTTTTAATGTGGCTCTTCAACAGGTGTCCTAAAATACAGCTCAAAAGTAACACCAAAGAAACACACAAGCAATAAATTGTCAACAGCGATGACGAGAGCAAAGATTTGACCTACGGAAATGCAAAAGAAAACAAAAATTTACCAGCAGCTGAGATCCAGGGAACGCCTACAAGAGAGATGCATGAGAGAAAAAAAGAGAGCGAGGTTCAGAAAGAACAACCTCCCTAGTTTTCAACAGCAACTGTGGAGTTTTTGTTTTTTGGGTTTTTTTTTTTTTTTTCCTAGAATTTCACTGTTTTGCTAGTAAGGAATTTTTCAATTTTTCAATTTTTTCTTTTGGTATCAAACTGAAAAGGGAAAAAAAGGCAACCAAAGAACTAAAAATTGAAACAAAAAATGCTTTTTTTTTTTTATTGGATGCTGGTGCTAAACCTCCCAAGTGTGATGAGTTGTTTTTTTTCTGTGCCAGTCCTGGTCACTGCAGGACGTGGGGAGGAGAAACTTCCGCTTTCCTTGTTAAGATCTATTTGAAACTGTGCAGCATTGGGTGACGTTCCTCACAAATAAAAGTGATTTCAATTACTCAAAGAACCTGTTTGAGTATGGGTTTTAATTTTACTTTTAAAATAATTCGTTATTTTGTTGCTTCAGCCTTTTCCACGTGGAAGGGAGCTGCCTCTTTGGTACGTGTCTAAAACCGTGCTGGGTGATACATGAGCATGGGTAGGTGGACACACTTCAATCCAAAACAGCTTCTTCTGCAAAGAAATTACACCACGAGGACTATAGCCTGCACTGTCCCCTCTGCTCTTCTGGCTCACATGACATTAAAACTTGGATTTTCCTGTCACCATCTTGTGGCAGGAGTTTGGGGGACGTGAGGCGAGTTCCCAGAATATTTTTCCTCATCTGTTTTGCTGGGCTGTCGTGTTGTGTAAACAGTAGGATCCAAGGTTTGAGATTCCTCTGCTGGGGGCAGACACACATCCAGTAACTGCCACTTCATCCAGGCTTCTGCCCTGAACGATGGCAGTGGGATTTAATGGCCTCTCCCCTCTTCCTTACTTGAAACCAGTAAAATCTCTCTACCTGTGCCATCTCCTGTTGATAAGTACTTTGCTGTCTTACTAGTAATGTCTGTGCTTTTCTGATGTTCCACCCTAAAACTCTGCTGCATTGCAAGTGTTATCAGTCCACTTCCAGCTGCAGAATTTCTTCACGTATCTCGTGTCCTTCACTCCCCACTCCAGCACTCCTCGCGTTCCTGCCTTGCAGCTGCTGTTGCCCAAACCTCAGATAATGTATTTGTTTCCCTAAAACACCCCTTTCTGTTCTTAGCTGTGCAATCTTTGTCCAGCCTTCATTGAACCACACGGGATGTAAACCCCTTGGTCTGAGCAAGGCTGTAACTGTGCACGTGCAGGACGAAATCAGAGTGGAGAAACGGCTGGCTCTTTGTCCTTGTCCCTTCTAGTTTCCCTCTTCTTGCACCCTGTTAAAGGTTTTGTTCAGAACTAAACCTTATTTCAGGCAGATTGAGGAGAGGTTGGAAACTTCATCATAACGAAGAGGTGCAAGATACTCTTTAGTGCTGAGCCACTGCTGAAGAATTTGTCATAAAAACTACTTGAACTGCCTTTGGGTGTTCAAAAGTAGGTGTTTTTTTTCCCTTGAAGTGCGATTTGACAGGCCAAAGAGAGTTTTCTTCATCTCTGCAAAAATGTAGGTCAGATGGAATTAGTTTAACAAAAGTACCTAACTAGTCATTGTTATTTGATGAAAGGAGAAATCAGGGAAAAGGCAAGCAGTGTCCTGGAATCTAGTTCTATTTGTTATCTCTGTCCTGCCTCTGTAATAAGAAGAATCTCTGCATAAAACAGGAGCAAGTGACTGACATAACCCACCTCATCCCCGAATTCCTGCTTATGAAAATACAGGCTTAACTCAAGCACTTATTGAAATTACAGTTTAGGTGTCTTGTGTTCCTTTACTGGGCCACTTGAGCTCTTGTTACTTGAATTTGGCAGGAAAAGAAAAAATGAAGCTGGTGCTCAATAATGAGGTTTGGTTCTCTTGGCAACTGTGGGGCCTTTGTACCTTAAGCAAGACTTACGAGCAGAATTTCAGATGTTTGTGTTTGGTTTCTTAAAAAGACATTTGGCTATGTGGATTTTGAATTTGCAGGGTAGTTGACATGCTTTTATACCCACTTGGAGCCACTTCTATGTTGTAATCATTTTACACTTCAAGCTTCCTCTTTTGTGCTGTTTGCAATAGTGGAGCAATCCTGCTGTGATTTGATTTGAAGTCCCAGAGCTTGACTGTGCTGCACTGAGCAGAAAATCGATCCTGATGACTTAATACCACCAGCTGAGGAGATGAATAATTACCTTTAATACCTTAAGGTTTCAGGATGTGATAGGAAAGACCTCCACAAAGTTTGTCACCGAGTTGGGACCTTCATTTATTTCCTGACTAATGTCAAAATGCATCATCCTTCTTTAGGGCTTTGCTATCAGTTCTGATTTGTAAATTGTGAGTTTACTAAGACCATGAAGGTCTTTATATAATTAATCAAGAATTTTAAGGAAAATGGGCTGTAAAATACGTGTCTGCAGTACGGAAAGCCACCTGCTCTCAAAAAAAAATTTGGTTAAATGTGTTGATCCCCACAAAACCCTAAATGAGGGATTAGTGTCAGCCCAACTCAACGGGAGCTGCACCTCAGGTTAGAGTCAAACTTGTGCTGTTTTAATGTGCTAAGTAACAGCAGTTTGGTGGTGAGTCAAAAAATGCTTTGTGCAGTGTATGTGTAACAGCCAGTTTATTTTGAGGTCCCTGTCCTGTGCTTTCTGCTCCTTGTGTTGATGTTGTTATTTTCACTTATATTTTACAATACTCATATTTTTCTCCATGATTTGGAGAGTGCTGTTAACAGTTTTCTTCTGAGTCTTGCCCTTCTTCCTTTGAAATATTCTGTGCAGTGTGGAGCTGGTGTGTACAACAAAACTGGGTGAAATCCCAGCAGTTCCACAACCGTGGGATGTATCCCAAATTTGGCACGTGAGCTCAAACAGTCACTAAACCAACCTGGTGTAACTAGTATGTCAACATGCCTGTCTTTGTCCTGGAATATAGGAATTCTCCCTGTTCCCACAGCTGGGAAGATGCCACGTGTCCTCTCTAGCCACTGTTAAACTCTCCGAGGAGAATTTTTCTAGTTACCAGCAGAACTCAATCCATGGGTAAAATCCCGTTTCAGGAAAAACTGCTGCACTGAAATTTCAAAACAATTTAAGCAAAAAGCTAAACCAGCTACTAAGGGTTCTCTTCTTGAGCCTTTCTGAGATAATTTTTTTAAATACAGACAGCAAACTTTTGGTAGATCATTTAGATGTGATTTTAATCATTACCTCTTCAAGGGAGGTGGAGATACTTGCTACATGGTGCTTCCTTTCTAGTTAAAAGAGACAGATTTGAATGCAAGGGAAGATCCTCCTTAAAACTTGTTGCTCTGACATCCATCTCAAATAAAATATTCATGTACAGCTGCAAGCCACGAGGTGGTGCTCTCAATCCACTTAAAAAGTAATATTTTTTGTCCTTTTTTTTTAATATTTGCACAGTAGGGATACATAGAGGAAAGCATGTTTTATAACCTGGTTTGGTTTCTGCAGCAATCCCCCCACACACACTGCAGTCTATAATGGTAAAAAAATTTCACTTAACTATTTCCTGCTACCCTTCAGAGGATTTGAGAAAAACAATCTTTCTGGGAAAACCAGTTCAAAGAAATGGTTAAAAATCCAGTGAAACAAAATGGAACAACTACAGCTGAGCTACCTGAAGAATAAAACTCTGGAACTGAACACCTAGATAGCAAATCCTACATCCAGTCTAGAATTTCACCTGTTTTTCATTTGGAAAAGTAAGTGATTTCTCAGTTTTCCTTGAAAGGTGTGGGCTGGTGCAGTACCATTGTGATGGTCCACTACACACCCCCAGTTTGCTCAGGTCTCCAGGAATTCCAGTTATCCTGAGGGTGAAGCGAGTGTGAACTTCCAGGAAGGCGCAGGCACAGAAGGCATGGGAATGGTGTGTGCAAACACTGCACTGATGGGCCTCGCAGAAATAACCACACTGTTATACCTTTTGCTTCCAATAATATAAATATATCTGTGTAATCTCATTAAACACTTCCCTGGATGTTTACAAATAAGTTCTTAGCGTGGTGAAAGCTGATCCCTTTTCCACCAAGGCTGTGAAACCTCCGCTGCTGGCAAATCAACAGGGCGATTTCCCGAGGTTCTGCCAGCAGCAGTGAGTTCAGGTTATTCCTCTTCACCTTTGGATTCCTTCAGCGTCTCTTGCCACCTCTTCCCCAACTGTTCTTTGCACCTCAGGAAGGCGTCTTGCAGGCGCCTCATGGAGTTGGCCAGGTCTGGGTTGGTGTGGATGGTGACGATGTTGTAGGTCATCCAGGCCGCGCGAACTGCAAACCCAACAGACAGGACATCACTGAGCCAGCAATTCTTGGTAGACGTCCCAAAATGCTTCATAATGGAAGCACAGTGATGTAAAGGGTGAAATAATTTCGCTAACACACGCTTCACCTAAAAATTACAACCAGACAGGCAATCAAATAGAAAGGTTCAACAGAGTGGTTTAAAAGATGAATATTGTAAGGAATCCTCTCTCCAGACCAGTTACAGCCAAGAGGATCCTGTTAGGTGAGGAAGACTAACATCAGGGAGACTGCAACAGAGAGAGAAAAGGTTTCAATAACAACTTCATTGTTCAAGTCTTGATCTTGAAGTAATGAGTAACTTGAACAGTGAAATTGATTTTGAAATAATGAGTATATCTGATAAAGGTGAGCAAATAGTTTTGGCACTTAAGCCATGCTCTTTCCCTTTTGTTTTACCAAGAAGTGACTGTGGTTTGCTCAGTGGCACTCGTGAATTGTGTACTTACAGAAAGTTCAACGAACAGTTCTTGTAAGTAGCACGCAGTTTCTGACAGAGTCGTGGCAGAGCATGGGGAGCAATGTGCAGTCCTCTCTGTTCCTACAGGACTAAGATTAAATTTGCAGAGGAGTCTTTATGGTAGCGGAGGAATTCAAACCTGAGAGGTGCAGTGTATCTATCCCACCGTTTTTCAGAATTAAGACTCATTTTATATACTAAAGTTTTAGTACTTGTACATTAGATACCTTAGTGGTATTTCTGGTTCTAACTAAGCACCCATCACCTATTGATTCTTAATTCTGGGCCACCTGAAACTTTTATTTACGTGCTTTTTCACAATTGAGAACATGAGGGCATTAGTTGATGGAGATTGTTTCCACTTGCATTTCTACCACAAGGAAGATTACAGAATAAATATAAATAATAAGCCTTCAGTGTCTTCACTCTAGTAGACAAATAAAGACCTGTACCTGTTATTTTTTCCATTTCCTCCAGAAGTTTTTCCAAGTCCCTGTTCCACTTCTCCATCTTCTTTATTGAGTTTTCACAGTTTTCTTCCTGAGGTTTTGATTCAGCCATCTAAAAGGAAACCAGGAATTTTGTGCTTTGTTTTACTCTCGAGTGAGTTTGTTTTTACAGCTGAGAGAAAGTAATCTTGCACTAAATAATAAAAAAACCCCGGCATATACATTTTGAATTTACATGTGAATTCAGCAAGAATCTGACCTTGAAGTTACCAGCCATCACCTGTGTGCTGCATATTATTTTCCATCCATTTTGAAATGAATTTAAGTAGAAAGAGTTATACTCCCATCTGCTGCTGTTTGTGCCAAATAAAGATTTTTGGTGTCAGTAATGACATGGACCACTGTGTCAAATTCTTCATTAGAAAGCTTCCTCTGTCACCCCGTTACAGTTGTCTTCAAGCTTCTCTCCCAGATACCCTCAACAGGGGCAATTCCTAATTTTCAGTGAGTTGTAAAATCCCCATTTATAACTAATATTTCACACATTCAGGCTCCAGCCAGGTAAGTAAATACACTTAAGTTCTGTCACCGTGTAAGTGCTTACGATTTCCTGACCTTTAAGTTGTAGGGAGTGGAATTTCAGGATTCGAAAACGCTCGGGGCAAAAACACAGACGCAGTTTTAGAGCCGACAACGCGACACAAAAGCATTGCCTTTAATTTTCTGGAAACCTCCGGCGGATGGGATGGAACTATGACGGAGGAGACGGAAAAGGTTCACTGCAGTTAACTATATATACATCACATAGCAGGTATAGCTTTTGTCAGAAACTCAGTGTGTGTGTGTTGGGGGGCTGTTTTCTGCTTTTTTTTTCTTTATTGCCACTAAACGTGGAAGGGACGCCAAGGATCTGTTTGGAGCGGCCCCACAGCGTTCCCAACCTCACAGGCGGCGGGGGGGGGGCCTCTCCACGCAACCACTTCCCACGGCGCAACTGCGAGCCGGCAAGCGAAGCCCTTGAGGCCAGAGACCTTACGAACCGCAGCTCCCCGGTTTTACCGAACACTTCGGCCGCGCTTTGACCCGCCCGGCGGGGCCGGGGCCGGGGTCGGGCCCGACCCCAGCGCGGTCACCGCCCGCCCCTCACGGGCCTGGGCGGGGCCGCGGCCGCTCCGCCTCGCTCGGGGCGGGCACGGGGCGGGCGGTGACGGGACACACCAACAACCCCCCCGTGTCCCGCGCTGCCGCCGCTCGCGCGCTTGGTTCTGTGTTTCACGGGCGCTGGGTGAGCACGGGGTGGGCGGCCTGCGGGGAGGAAGGGGAAGGGGAAGGGGAAGGGGAGGGCGGTGTGATGCTCCCCGGCTCCGTGCCCGGGCTGTGTCCCCTTCCCCCGGCATCGTGCCCGGGGCTGTGTGTCCTCCCTGGCACCGTGTCCGGGCTGTGCGTCCCCTCCCCAGCTCCGTGTCCCGGCTCGGTGCCCCGCCAGCCCCCCTTTGCGGTGCAGCCGGTTCTGAGGCGCGTCATGGCCCCTCAGCCTCCCCCCCGCCCCTTCCCTCATCGCCCCCAGCCCCGCGGCTCGGCCGGGCGGCGAAACTTGGCTGTGGTTCCCAGGGTTTTTTTTCCCCTGAAAGTAACCGAGAGGTTGCGTCTTGTCCTTTCCAAGTTTGCAAGCTTGTTCTCTTGCTTCTTTCCTCAGGGAGTCTTCACCTCCCCGCCCGCGCGAAGGAGAGAGGCTTCCGAGCGGGGGCTGTGGTGGCAGGACAGGGAGCAGCAGTTTTAGGGTCTGTTTAGATTAGATAATAATAAATACTTCACGGTGGGGGCGGTGAGGCGCTGGAACAGGTTGCCTCGAGGAGCTGCGAGCGCCCCGTTGGAAATGACATGACTTTCCTAATAAACCTTTTCTTGAATTTGTAGCTAATGGTAGCGGGTGGCTGGGTCTCTTTTCCGCAGGCTCCTGTTGGTGGGATCTTTAAAACAGCCGAAGCTTTTGAGTTTCTCCGGACTGGCTCTGATGAGCTTCAATAAAATAAAGCTTGAGGGAGTTGAGGGTTGGAATCTTAAATTTTTGGTCCATGTTCGAGTAACCAGAAGATGCAGAAAGGATTAACAAAGACATTTACAGCCCGCGAGTTGGAGACTTGTCTGGGGAAGAATGATAAGAGGACCAGTGAATGCAGACCAAATTAGCCAATAAAGGGTAGAATACTAATTAAACGAAGAGAGCTGTGTAACTTAGAAACAATAAACGTCAATTTCTTTGTTTGCTGAAGTGTATAAACATGTGAAAAGTCTTGAAAGGGACATACGTGGCTGGAATTATTCTATCCAGAATAAAGTAATGCCTGGCTCAGTAACACTTAAAAGGTAGTGTTGGAGGGTTTCATTTCTCCCCAAGGATTTTTGGTGACATTATGTCCCTGCCAGCGTGATGGAGAGAGACTTCAGGGCCTGCAGTGACGGGACAAGGAGAGACAGCTTTGCAGTAGAAGAGAGTTGGTTTCGACTGGATATAAGGAATAAATACTTTACAGTGAGGGTGGGGAGGCCCTGGCACAGGTTTCCCAGAGAAGCTGTGGCTGCCCCATCCCTGGAAGTGTCCCAGGCCAGGTAGGATGGGGCTTGGAGCAACCTGGGATAGTGTGGAAGGTGTCCCTGCCCACGGCAGGGGGGTTGGAGCTGGATGGTCTTTGAAGGCCCCCTCCCAAACTGTTCTACCATGCTGTTATCTTTACCTTTATTTAAAAAAAGTAAAGTATTGGAGAGGGTGTTTGCAGGACCAGGCAAAACCAAGTTAGGAGTTTTCTGGAGGATGAGCAACAAGACTCAAAGTTTGACAAGGGTTTGCTGATACTAGGAATTACCTTCCCAAATCACATCCCATTCCAGATAAGTATCCAAACCTTAAACGGTTTGGGCTGTCTCTTGTTCTCCTTTTTCATCCACCAAAGCAAACTCAGCCCTGTTTTTAAATTATTTGGTATATTAGTATTCTCATCACGCAGCAGACTTGTTCATCTCTTGCCATCACCACTCATTTCGCTGCCAGCTGAGTAGCTGGTTTGAAGGTGACAACCCACCTTCAAAATAGACAAAATGAAATATTTATGCCCCCAAGTTACACGAATGCTGTATAATTTATGAGCATTTTGTTGCTAAAGTTTTGCTGGCATTCAAAACCAGTTGAGTAAAATCCTTGTTATGTTGTCACAGTCTTTTATAGGTCATTAGAGGTCAGGTTTTGCCGGGAGGAGCTGTTGGGTTCTCACTCAAAAACGTGAACGGTGTGAAAATGTGGGTGGTGAAGAGCAGCAACTTAAAAGGAAAATTTATGTTTTTAACAAAAAGAAAGAAGTGCCAAACCCCTGAGTAGAGAGGAAGTGCTGGAAAAATACCAAGCCTTCACCTGTCTGGTGAAAATTGATGCATAATCGTTCAGTCATTTCAGTTTTATATGGAGAAGCTGGTATTTTTCTTTATTTCTTTTCATATAATTCCTACCCCCTCCTAGGCTTTGCTCCTTTGGAAATTTCAAATAAGAGCTGCAGGGACGAGGTGAAAATCACTACAATTGCCATTTTCAAGGAAAAAAAAAATCCTCTAAACATTAAATAGGCTAATTAATTTTTCTCAGTTAAGAAGATCTGCTGTCCTAAGAGGCAAAGCTCGTGAGGCAGAACAAAGACTTGGGATGATGATGATGGGAGGAGTGGGGTTTTTTTTAACTTTTAGATAATTTGTTCTGATTATTACCCCAGTCAGGGATTAATAAGTGGCTTGCAGAAACAGAAAACCATTGAGCCTTTCAACCTCTTGTGATGTCCCGCCCTTAAGGGCAAGGGAGCACCCAAGGTTTGTAAATGCCTGTGGTCAAAATGGAACGACAGAAAAGTCGGAGGGTCCACAAAACACTCACTGAATTTTATTAGTAAATTATACGCCTGGCTTGGAAATTGGTATGTGAGTCCCTGACATACGATGTAAGCACATGGCAGTGGGGTTTGGATAAAGGGGTAAGAGAAAAAGGAAGGGAGAAAGAAAGAGATTAATTAAAGAGGAAGAGAGAGAGGAGGAAAGAGAGAAAGAAAGAAAGAAAGAAAGAAGGAAAGAAAGAAGGAAAGAAAGAAAAGGAAAGAAAGAGAAGGAAAGAAAGAAAAGGAAAGAAAGAAAAGGAAAGAAAGAAAAGGAAAGAAAGAAAAGGAAAGAAAGAAAGAGAAAGCTCCTTATCTCCTGGAATTCTACCCCTCTGTGGGCTTAGGTTGACCAAAAGATCAGTCCCAGTCTATCAGCTTTAAGCCACTGTTTTAAGTCTTACATTAGAGTGTGAGAATAAGTCAGAGACTTCACAGTCTCTAAATTACTGAAAATAAAGTGAACACCACAGTGACATTTCACCCGAAGTTTGTTTTTTTTTTCTGGTCCAGCAGCAGTTACTTGGAGCATGCTTAGTTCTGGGAGCTGAATTGCAGCATTAGCACCTCTTTGCTAATTTTAATTAACTGTTCCTCACACAGGATAAACACTGAATAGTTTGTGGCTGAATTGCTGCTTGGCCTCAGAACCCCATCCGCGTGCGGTTTGGGTGGTTTCTAGGTGTGCTGTAGCTGTCTTGGAGATAAAGAGGATGGGTATTTAATAGAGCTGCCAGTCTACTGCCTTTCAGGGTATTTAATCCAAATTGTCTAAGGCCAAAGCAGAGAGAAGGACCCAGGCAGTTAAACAGGCAGTGTGTTCTTCGGGGATGCAATACAGGAAAAATTTGTTTTTCTTCACAGCACAATAAATGACTTCTGTCACTTAACTGCACAGGGGGAGAGGCTTGTGGATGAGTGAGGAAGATTATATAATTCTGAGGCCTGAACTCTGAACTGTATAATCTTAAACTCATTAAAATATCTTATCCAACCAGTCAGACTGGGAGCACAACAGAGATCGAGGGGGGGAATTATAAGCAGCAGCGATTGCTGCTTTGCATGTGCTTATCTGAATATTAACCCTTTGCCTTCCCATACTCTCTTCCACAGTGGGGAGGGGTAGAAGCTGAAAGAAGGGGGGACACTTTCATTTATTGTGCTTTTAAACAGGGATCTGGGTAAGTTTTTCCAGGTGCCCCTGGGGAAGATACCTGTGGAAGGTATTTCAGTAAAGAACTCATTTAAATGAGGAACTGTGCTTTTTAGCCACTCTTAAATGGAGAATAAGACAGATCCCCTGCTCCCTCATTGAGAGAACACTGCAGAGCGTCAATGAAAGTTGTGATCAGAAGGAGAGGAAGGCTGAAATCAGAGTCTGGGCCTACACTGTGCAGCTGTAGAGATGTCTTGAACTCAAGATTTTCAGTCTAGAAGGTGTCCCTCCTGGTTTCTCAGGGGTTGAAAGTCCACACCACAGGACAATTTCACTGACACTGTTTTGCCCACTTCTGTAGACAGATCAAGCAATGAAGAAACCAATCACTTCTGGCTTTCACCATTTTGCACACATGGGTAGTGAGTGCCAGCTGGAAGAATAATGCCGAGGGCATTGTGGCAGGAAAAGGTCACAGAGCACGTTCAGGGATATTGTCTGGTCTGGTCTGGTCTGGGAGCTCAGGATAGTGGGAGGAAAGGGCAGGGCAGAGCTGATGGCAGGGCTGGGAAATGCTGGCGGAATCCCTGGCCAGCCTGAGCGGGAGGGATACCAAGGGGCGAGGCAGAACGTGAGAAAAGCCAGCATTCCTGCTGTCTCTCGTAGTATGTTTTAATATTATTAACCTTTTATCTCTTTCTTCACTTGCAGATTGTGCCCCTGGCGCTTTTTCAGCTCGTGGAGCCTTAAGGGCTTTTTGTACAGATTTTCTGTTCCAAGACCCTCTTTTTTTTTTTCTAAATGTGATCCTGATTTCTGTTTATTACCTTAAATAATAATGTCATAAACCTCTCCCTCTTGACCTGTGTTTGTCTGCCTTTCCAGTTACGCTCCGAGCCGGTGCCTGAGGGCTCTGCCTGTCCCTGCAGCCGGAGCAGGAGCAGCCAGACCCGTTTGGCAAGTGTGACCCTGCCTGTCAGCTGTGCTTTGGACATCCCCGGGGAGACAGCTGAGAAGACCTTGGGAAGAAAAAAAACCTGAAGCTGGGCGGGTCCGGGGCAGAAAAATCAGTGAAGGAGGAACTTAGTCATAAGAATTACAACCACACCAAGGTAATCATCAGCTTCGTTAGGAGTGGCCTCAAACGAACTGGGAACCAGGAGCAGGAAAAGACGACTGCAGGGCAAGAGAAGTGGTGCAATCCAGGTGAGTGAGAGAAAACTGCTTCTGGAGGAGCAGTTAATGAATATTTATTTTTTTTTTTTGAAAAGGCTTTCAGTAGCGTGAATGTGACCTGAATTAGAATATAGCTGTGCCATGAAGTCTAGATGTCTGTGTATATATGCGTATACTCTCTATATTTGTGTATATCTGTATATATATGTGGTTACTCCTTGTGTTGAAGTTACTTATGAATTTCTCTGATCGTGATGGTATTGGGGTTTGAGGAAAAAAATAAGAGAGGTATGTCCCCTACAAGCAGGTGGATTTGAACAAAATAGCTTATAGGCACTTTTTGAACAGGAAGAAATTAACAAAGTAATTAAGTTTCGTATAAAATTAGTCTCAGTTCACTGAAACAGTGCTGGGTGATGCTATGCATGTGTGGATAAATATGTTCACTGTTTGGTTAATTAATACATGCCTAGGGCTGAATTCAGAACTAATTAGCATTTTACTTCCATCACTGTTGCTTGATTGCGAGGCAGTGAACTCTAATCCAAAGTGGGGCAGATATCTACACATTTTCATGTGTTTACCTGTTTGCACAAGCTACTGATTAGATTATAAACAAAATCCATGTTAAATCCACCCAGAAACATCCAAAACTTGGGAAACTGTAAAGCTGAAGCTGTGTACACAGCTTCAGGCGGCTGTGAATTTATGAAAGCAGATTAATCTTCCAATTTCTTAAGCCATTAAGCAGCAATGTGATGTTATGCAATATTTTTATCACACAGCAGGTTTTTTTTTTTACAACAAGAGCTACATGGTCCTTTGGAAAGAACTCCTTTATTATTATATTTTGTCACAGTTATTCAGAATATCAGTATTGGGTCTGTGTTAGGGTTTGGTACAGGCTTAGTATCAGCAGCTCCCAGCAAAATCAGGGTTCAGTCTGTAAGGAGACATTTTCAAAAGTGATGTATGATTTTGACTTCACAAAAGGAAGTGATGGGTAAAACTGTGCTTTTGGGAGTTTGGCCTCTAGACTTTTCCTATCCTAAACTCTAAGAGCTTCAGGTTAATGTATTCCTCACCTTTTTTTATTTCTTTTTCCCCCTTAATTTTATTATTATTTTATTTGGCAGATTACCTTTGAGCAATTGCTTTCTGTGGTCTTAATTCTGGGACAGTGTGATGAAGATGCATGTTAATTTTTCAGAAATCACAGCAGGCCATGTCTGCATTAGGAAAAACACATTTTTGTCCTAATCACCATTTAGGTTCTGTACCGTTCCTGTACTTAGAATTCCTTACGAGGTACAAATAAATTAAGTTTTGTGAGATGATCTGAGCTTTTGTGCTGTACTGAAAAGGAGCCAAGTTGGCCCTAAGTAATCCACCTGCTCCAGTGGCAGCATGGACCTTGTTATTTGCTGTTTTCTCCGTGGTCTAGCTCTTTAGAAGTGGTCAGCCTAATTTTCTTTCACTCCCTTGATAGGCTTCAGCAGCAGCTGGCCTGGGATTGATGTTGGAGTTCTGCTTCTAATTTTGGACCAAGAGAAAACCTTGTGTCACTGGAGGTGATTTTGGAAACACTTTGTTTTCTTACAGGGTGTTACAGCTCCCAGCTGTTTCAGAAGTGAGTTAGACAACTAAACCTTTAAAGCTGAGTGGTACAACCAGTACAGCAAGCCACATTTTTGTAATCCTTGGTCATAGGGACAGAGGTGACCCTGGTGTTTTATAATCTGGGTTGAGTGGTCAGAACTTGCCATTTTCCCCCCCCATTCCCATTTTTTTTCAAACACAGTTGAAGGTGCTGCTTGGTAACCCCCAGGTGCCTTGCAGTGAGAGATGAGATGGCTCCACTGGCCAGGAAAACCTTGCAAAGCTCTCATGATCTGCCAGGCTGTTGGAAACAGTCCCTCAGCTCTTGTGAAGGCAGAAGAGACCACAGAACATGTGCTCTAACAAATGCACAGCTTTTTGCATCGAGCAAAAACCCGTCAGACTTGTTTTTTATTTGTCTTGGATGCTGCTTTTAGTGAAAGGGGGAACATGGTGAGGGAAGAAAACCCCTGTTTCTCTCTGTTTGCTTTTCCATGGTGCTTTTCTTCTCCCTCTTCTCTCCCATTCAGTGCCCACACGTGCTGGTTCCTGGAATTCCCTTCCAGCCAGGAGGACACTGCAACTTGTGCAGAGCAGTTTGCCTGAGCCTTGACTGGGGCCCATGTTCAAAGGTCATGTGAAAGAGGAGGACAACAATAAAATGAGATAATAAATGGTGACTGGAAAAGCTGGGGAGTAAGGTTCTGCCACTGCAAGAAATTAAGTAGAAAGCATCGTGGTTAAAGGGTTTATTTTTGTCTTTTATCAGTCAGGCAATGTGCTGGAGTGAAGTGGGGAACTGCTCAGCTGTTCCTTAGTTATATTCCAGTCGGTCCTCACGATTAGTGCATGGAAAACAAGTGTGAGAACACTTTTATAATAGTGTGTTATGCAGTTCATGTAGGATAGGAAATCTGGAGAAATAACTGCATCACTTCCATCTCAGCTCACAGCACGTTTTAAACGAAGATCCAAGTGAGTATTGGCCTTTATTTTTGTCCCATTAAATTAACCAGCTGTTTCTCTGGACAGAGTAGCTGACCATTGCACTGGGATTTACACATTTGAACTGGTGGGGGGAACTGCTCTTAGTTCACAGGACAGGTATGTTCAGTGGCAAAACTGTCTTCTTTACTGTGATCATGCTCAGCTCATCTTCCTGAGCGTGGCAGGAGCCAGCAGGAGGCAGTTTCTGCATGTGCAGCATTCCAGCTCTCTTGTTCCCATATATTCCATGGACATGGAAGACGATATTTCTTTTTTCTTCTCAGCCTTCACCACGATGTTTGTGGCTCGGGCTTCTTAACTCTCAGCCCTGGCACTTTAAATAGCATAAATTGAGCCTGATGAGGATTTTAAGGCTGTAAAACATGAGAGAAAATAGATTATTTTAGGGCAGATCATCTTTCTGATCCAGTGAAGGCTTCTGCCAGTGCTAAGGAGATAGTTTACATGTGGGGATGAATGACAGGGGATTCCAAAAATCATAGTGAGGCTTGTGCTGGCACACAGTGCCTGTGGGTCTCTGTGGAAGTGGTTTCACAGTGCAGCTTTAGATGAATTAGCCATTCACCACCACTAAAAGGTCAGGAAACCACCATGGCAAAAGAAACAGGGAATTTTTCCTGCTGGGCTTGGTGGTTTGGATCAGTTTACCATGTTATCAGTTGCACAGCTGGGAGCAAAACGAGGAGTGAGAAGAAAGCAGAGGGAAGAGATAATCCCTTCTTTTGGCCTCGGTGAGCACTTAATTCAGCTCAGCAGCATTCACCTTCACTATTTGGGCTTCCTGAGCTGGTTTAAGCAGCCCCCATAACTGGAAATGTTAAAAACCACGGGTGGCTGTGGCACTTGAGGACATTGTGGTGGTGCTGGGTTGACTGTTGGACTTGCTGATCTGAAAGGTCTTTTCCAGCCTTAATGATTCTGTGATTCTGTGAACTCCAGTGAGTGGAATTCAGTGTGTGTAAAAGAATATTAAAAAACCCCAGTGGAACCAGCTGGTATTTACTTGCAATTGCACCAGTTCTCTAATGCAGAGTCCGAATTTGAACCTTTTTGAGGTGTTTTTGTCCCCTTTATGCTGATTTGGTACTGGCAAACTGTCTTCATATAATAAAATAATTAACTGAGCACTGTCAATGTGTTTCCTGCTATGTATTAGTTCCACATAACTTTCATGTGTCCCCTACTGCAAAAAGTATTAAATGTATAAAGACAGTTTTGTGGATTTTCTGAGCTACAGTGGATTTCTGAGTTAATAATTTTGTTGTGAGGATAGGGATGTAAGAACTGCAGTAATCTTACTGTTAGACAAGTAAGCTGCAGAAAAAAAAACCCGGGTGTGAGAATTCATTTACTCTCAGCCTGAAAAGCAGCGCTGAAAGGCACCTCAGAATTATCTTGTTGAGTACAAATTCTATTCCTGCTTCCTGAGCTCTGCAAGAGGATGGGACACATGGAGCTGTGGAAATGGGCTTCTCTAATCAAACTTGGAGCTTGGACTGTTTATGACTCAGATTATACAATGTGATTGCTGGCTAATGGTCCTAAAGTCTGTTTCTCTGTGCCTGTTCAGATGGGTCTTTCTTATCTCTGTGCATGTGAAAGAATTTTTGTGTAAGTTTGTGTATGTTATAGGTTGAGACCAGGTGAATGTGCTGGCACATCAACCCAATCCAATTAAATAAAAAAAAAAAAAGGAAACAGACTTTTTGTGCTACCTGAAAGCACAGATATATTCCATTTTCCTCTATCCAGTGCCTCTGTTGTGCAACTGATACAGCATAATTTCACTGGTTAATTGTAAGCATGAGAACAAGCTCTGTCTAATGTTCCATCACCGAATTCCATCAAACCAATGCCACACATTATTATTAACATTTGCCGTTGAGGTTAATTGCCTCAGACTCATAGCCCAAAATAATTACTTGCAGGATAAGTCACAATGCCTGTGGAATGTTCTAGAGGATACTGTGTGTGAAGCTGGTGTAAGTCTTAAACTTTTGGCGGTGTTTATAAGAAGCAGTGACTACATGTGCATGCCTTGCCTTTCTGTCAGTCATCAAACTACTCACTGCACTGATTTTTGCAATTTAGAAATAGTAGTCCAGGTCCTCTGATGGTCAGTGCAGCACCACAGAGACTGTTCCTGTCACCGCTTCAGTGCTCAGTAAAGATTATTATAATGAGTGTAGGGGTAGAAAGCTGCATATCCAGTTCCCGTTTTGATTGATAATCATCCTTTCTCCTAATAAATGCTGTTATTTTTCCTTGTCTCTGTGCAGGGGGCAGAGGTTGGAGGCCTATTTGCTTGTAGCTGAACATGGCAGGAAATGTGAAGGGGTTCACACGAGTGCTCCTGGAATGCAGCAGCAATGACAAGCTGTGTGGTAAGATTCCCACGTTCCTTCAAAATAATAAAGCTTATTAATAGTTTGATAAATAAAGCTTATTAAGCTTTGTAATAGTAAAGCTTTCACGTGCTGAGCGGGAAGTCCAGCTTCGCTAAAAAGTGGACCAAGCCCTTTCCCCCTCCTCCACCTGCATCCCAGCCCAGGCAGAAAGTTGGGATTGAGCTGTCACTGTGTCTCAGGGGAGAAGCTTTTAGGGGGATGCAGCCTTTGTGGCAGGATTCAGCTCACATAATTTTAGCCACTTTAGAGAATTCCTACTTTGAGTGAGACATGCCATAGTCATTAAAGGTTCCCTGTAGCTTCCCAAAGGGCCAGTTTGGGGAGATTCTGATTTCATGACTTTCTGGCATCTTTGGGAAGTGAAATATGATCTTGGCCTGTGCAAAAATAGCATCACCTCAAAATCTGGGGACATAAGAAAGATAGTTCCCTTCATGAGCCTTGTTAACTGCAATGTCTTCCAGTCAGACCCCAAAGCAGGTGCCCACACCCTGTTTTCTTTAAAGTGCTCTGTATAATTTTAATGGAAGGAGCTGGAGCTGTAGTTGCACGTGTATTTGTGATGGCACAGCAATGTCCAGCCCTTCCCACTCCCTCTGCCAGTGCTGGTTCTGTTTCAAGTGCTGGATGGTGCTTACAGATGGCTGCAAGTCCATTAAGGCACCTAAATAAGGGATTCTGTGCAGTTTTAAACAAATAGGGTGGCAGCACTAACAGTGTCCAGCTGCTATCCCAAGGAGCAGAGGATGGAAGGAGCAGCTCCTGGGGTTGAAAGTTACTGAGATGGATTGTTACCACTTACTCCTTGGCCTTCCATTCCCTTTCCCTGCTGGCAGTGGTGCGTGAATACCAACCTGAAGTGATCGTCGTCCCCGCTCTCCTCGTGGGGCTTTTTGTCATCGTGCTCACCGTGATCCTTTGGCTCCACTGTCGAGGCTTGAGAGCAAAGCAGGAGCAGCCCCCACCACCACCTGGAACCCAAGGTAAAAAACAGGGGTTTCAACCAGAGGTTGGCTGAACCAGAGTGTAGATAGTAGGAGTATAGATGGATCTATAGAAAATTTAAAGCAACATGTCATACAGGCTGTTGGACATACCCGTGAGAGCTACGAGGGGCATTTATGCCACAAGCCTTCTAGAGGCTACTGCAAGGAGGGTTCTACATAATTAACTTGCATTCATTACGAATGGCAGTAATTCTGATGTAGATCACACCCAGTTAGTCCGTTTTCCGTGGATGTCATTTAAGAAATGCGATTTCAAGCTGCTTTCTCCCGCTTCCTGTGGAGGCAACATGAACCAGTGAGGGGGTGAGGAAAGCTTTGTTGGTGCAAAGTGCTGCTGTGTGGAAATGAAAATACAGTTCTGAGCTGATTTTGGGTATGTAGAAGCCTCTTAAGCCCATATTAAGAGAAATAATTGAGAATAAAGATAAGAGCTTTGTGGGAACACCCCGTGTGTGTCCCTTTCAGAGCAGCCAAGAGCTGGTAATAAAAGAAAATGGTCATTGCTTGAGCACAGAGGAATGAAGTACAAATGTGCCTAGAAATGTGATCCAGAAAGTCTATGTAGTTAAATATAGAAGAAATTTCCAGACCAATTCTGCCTTTTCATCAAATAGAGTGGGAGATAAATTCTTCCTCCTTTTCAGGGGCCAGGATATGTAAGGTACAATAACAGCTCCTTACTTTGTCCCGATTTCCAAAACACTGGGGAGCAAAAATTAAAGAGGATAGAAGGGTGAGCATTGCCACCCTTTGCAAGAGCTCATCTGCCTGTCTTTGTGCATCATCTGTGTTTGCTTTTGGCAGTGAAGAGAAAGAATCAGCAGGAATCCTGCTCGACAGAGAACGGCTACATCCAGCTGAGTGAGACATCCGTGGAGGGCCTGCTCAAATCTGCATCCCTGGCTCTGAAAGAACTGCAGATACCACGAGAGAAGCTCCTGCCGGGCACCTTCCAGCTGATAAAGCATGGTGGCTATGGGAGCATCTACAGGGCACAGCTGGAAACTGGGAGCTCTGGGAGGACTAGGACTGTGGTGCTGAAAGCCTCACAAGGTGAGGCACGTGGGCAGGATCCACCACGGGACAGACCTTGGATGCTGGGGTAGAACTTTGCCATCACTGCTGGGCAAGAACAAGCTGTGTTCAGTGTCGTGTCAGCTAGTCAGAATGATGTTTTTGTGGGAATGTCCTGGAAGGATTAAAGATTCCTGACCATCTTGATTTTAAGCTGCTCACCCTGTTCTTTGCTGCTGCTGTTTGTTTTTGTTGTTGTTGTTTGTTTGTTTTTTGTGTGTGTGAGTTTAGCTTTTCGTTGTGTTTCTCATTTGTTCTGTTTGTTTGTTTGTTTTTGTTCTTTCAGGCCTGTCCAGTCCTCAGGAAGTAAAGGATTTCCTGGGAAGGATTAAATTCCACCAAAATCTTGGCCGTCACCAGAACCTGGTTGAACTGGTTGGATGCTGTGTGGACAAACTCCCCCTTTACATGATCATGGAAGATGTGTCTCTTGGTGACCTGCTGACGTTTCTGTGGACGTGTCGGAAGGTGAGTCAAAAGAAGTGGTGACAGAACAGCTGCCTAAATTCCTTAGGTGCATATTTATCCATAAGTCACAACCCATCAGTCAGAGATGATTCTTTCAATCTCTGTCACTCTAAACTATTTCCATCCCCCAGAGGAGTTCCACGCAGGTCTAAACCAGGATAGAATTAGTGAGTTCCTCCATGGATGTTCTATAGTTTGGAGAAGCTGGCACAGTTCTGCAAAGCCAAGCCCAGCTTTGCAGAGCATTGGAGCTCCTTGAAGGGTAGAGCAGGCACTGGAATTAGAGTGAGAATGGACACAGGTGCCTGAGTCTGGAAAGTTTGAAATAATGTCCCACTCCAAATGCTTTTAAGGAAACAGAGCAGTTACAACAGCAGGGAGAAGGTAATTAACTAATAACTAACTGGTTAAAAGACAAGAAATAGAATATAAGAATGAAAGGTTGGTACTTTCACTGGAGGCAGGTCAACTGTCTAGGACCTGGTGCTGATTGTTGCATGTATTAATAACATAGAAAATGGGGTGACAGTGAGGTGATGGTGGTTGCTGAATGACTCCTGCCAGTAAAGGCGAGGGCTGACCCAGAGGAATTGCAGAAGGATTTTCCAAGACTGGCCAATAAAAAGAAATGATGCACAGGTGGAAAAGCAGCGATGGCTCCACATCTGCTCATTGCTGATGAGGAATAAAAATCTGAAAGCATGAGGTCTGATAGTATGAAAATATGCAATCCATTGGAAACGTTAACTCAAGCTGAGAAAACCAACCCAGATATCAGGGGAGGTTTAGGCTGGATCTCAGGAAAAGTTTTTTCACACAGAACACTGTGTGGGCACTGAACAGGCTCCCCAGGGCAGTGGGCACAGCACCAGAGCTGTCTAAGGTCAGGAGATGTTTGGACAGTGCTCTCAGGCATTGTGGGGTGTCCTGTGCAGGGCCAGGATTGGACTTGGTGATCCTGAGGGCTCTCTTCCAACTCAGCACATTCTGGGGTTCTGCATTTCAGTCAGTTTATGACCAACTGTGAAATGACACGGGGGAGCATGAGATGGGATAGTGCTCATTTTATGGGATTAGAAGGAAACATTCCCCGCTATCCTACTGCTATGGCATTTGCTGGAACCAAACCAATTTGTCTCCAGGATGTAATGGCAATGGATGGGATCCCCTATGACCTCACCGAGAGGCAAGTTTATGAAGTTGGACAGCAGGTTGCAGCAGCCCTGGTAAGTCTGCTCACATTTACTTCATTTTTTTTTTTTCCTTCTGGCTTGATTGCAACACAGATCTTCCTGGTGGCCTGAGTCTCCTTGGCCTAAGCACTGGGAATGTGTGCTTGCAATGATGTTGGTGAGCGTGTCCCTCTATTCCTCGGCGTGGAAGACGAGCTCGAACTGAGTGAAAATTTATATCCACTGAATGTCCTCTTAAAATGATCGCGGCCTTCTTTCTTTTCCAACTTCCCAGGCTTACCTTGAAGAGAAGAAGCTGTTCCACGGTGATGTTGCTGCCAGGAACGTCCTCCTGCACCCCAACCTCACTGCCAAGCTCTGTGGTTTGGGCCTGGCCTACGAAACCCACGCCTGCGGTGCCACCTCGGTCACACGGGGGGTGCCAGTCAAGTGGCAGGCCCCGGAGAGGCTCCTGAGGAAACCCCCCAGCATCCAGGCAGACGTGTAGGGTTTAATTTTTTGGACTGGGGGGTCTGTCAGACCCATCCCTTTTGCTCCTTTATGTGTCCCTTTCGTGTCCCCAAAGGCACGTCCAGAAGCAGCGTAATGCTCCACGTTGCTTTGTTTTCTTCCCTTGCAGGTGGTCTTTTGGAATTCTACTGTATGAGATGATTACATTAGGTAAGGAGCTTTTGTGATAATAATAATAATAATAAAAAAAGTATGTCAGGAAGCAGCAAATTAACAAGACCCAAAATCTCAAATTTCAGCATATAAAGTTGGGCCACTTCAATAAGCACCCTGTTTTTTTTTTTTTTCCAACCTGCAAAGTCTTGACAGTTCCTTTCAGGTTTTCTGTCAGTGTGAATTGTGGCGGGGAAAAAAACACAGTGGATCTTGGTAGAGAAGGGATTTTCATTTTCTGGATTTTCATTTTCCATATCGAAGTTGCTGTTTCAGAATAACAACTGAAAAAGTTCAAAATCATGTGAGTCAAAATCCCCACAGACCCCCACCCGAGGTAGCACATTCCTCCAAACCACTTCACTTTCAATAAAGGCAGTTTCTCTAAATGTTATTTAAATATCTCAGTCTCTCGTCTTAGCTTGTTAAGCTTAAATAGCTGCAGTTTCTCGCAGCCTTTCTTCTGAGGTCACATTATATCTGGATGACACAATGCTCCTCTTGCACAGGAGCTGTTGTCTGCAACCATCGCCACAGAGTTGTTCTTCTGTTGCTCCTTTTGTCCTTCCAGGTGCTCCCCCATACCCTGAGGTGCCACCTTCTGACATCCTGGCACACCTGCAGAGGCAGAACATCATGAAGCAGCCCTCAAGCTGCCAGCAAGCCATGTAAGCCACGGGCTTTGTGGGCAACTGAGCAGGAGAAATGGGAGGGAGACACAGAAAACCAGATCTTACCCAAAATCTCTAAGTCTGGACTAAGCTGAGGAGATTTGTTCTCACGTCTGCTACGTCTCCTCACTGGGTTCTGCTGCATGAAACCCTTGATGGCCAACACCTTTCTTTCCTCCTTTTGAAAATTACACTTGTTTTTGTTTCCTTCTTTTGAAAATTACACTTGTTTTTGTTTCCTTCTTGTGAAAATTATACTTGTCCTTTGCCTTTGTTGCTCCACCACTTCCTTGCAAGGTGCAGGACTACTCTGGAGGGACCTTTCTCCTCTAAGCTGTGGGATATTCCCTGAAACAAGCCCAGCCAGCATCCACAGGGAAGATCTAAGGCACATTTCCTTGGGTGAAGACATAATTTCTTTTATTATATATGGATATTTAGTGGCTCTGTGGCTCTGTTCAGGTGTGAGAAGCTGAATTTGGTGTATCACTGATACTGATGAATAAAGAACCCATTCAAACTGAGCATTTGGCAGGAGGAGAAGGGTCACTGAAAGAACTCCATGTGAAGGAGGAAAAGGGGGAGTTTTAAACATGAAATGACCCGACTGGAGTAAAATTTGGTGTTGGTTGCTTCTCATTCCCGGCGTTCTCCCTGCTTCTCCCTCTTACAGGTACAGCATCATGAAGTCCTGCTGGCAGTGGAATGCAGCTCACAGGCCTTCCCCAGCACAGCTCATCTGCTCCCTGAAAGCAGCCATGAAGAGCAGCAATGGCCACACAGTCCTGCAGGTCCCTGAGCCGGTGGTGCCTGAAGTCTATGCTGATGTTGCTGGTGTTGAGGTGCACAGTGTAGTGAGGGAATACACCATCCTCTGAAGGGCCCTTCCACGTGCTGGTGAAGGAGAAGTCACTCGAGTTTTCCCTTCCTAAATATTTTGCAAGATCAGAATGAGGGGGGAGTTTGTGTGTTGGAAGGATCCCTTTGTTTTTCAGACGTGTTTATGTATCTCAGATCTCTCCTCCAGGCCAGACACCACAAGCTGTTATCGTTGCTATTAAATCGGCGTGTGGATACCACTCTGCCAGTGGTCATTTGGGAGATAACTGTGTTTAGGGAGCTGTAGAGAATGTAATGAGAAACTGGATTTAAAGGAGTGTATCAGGTTTGCGTGGCAAGGTTTTGGTTGTGGGGTGGACTGCAGGGGTGACTTCTGTGAGAAGAGATCCACCTGCAGCCCCTGGAGGAACCCACCCTGGAGAAGGACTGCACCCTGTGGAACGGGACTCTTGCTGGAGCAGTTTCCTGCCTGAGGGAAGGAATCAGGCTGGAGAAGTTCCTGGAGGACTCCACACTGGAGCAGGGAAAGAGCGTGAGGAGTCCTCCCCCTGAGGAGGAAGGAGCAGCAGAGACACCGTGTGATGGACTGACCACAACCCCCCTTCCCGGTCCCCCTGCCGGGCAGGAGGAGGCAGAGAAACCGGGAGTGAAGCTGAGCCTGGGAAGGGGAGAGAGGTGAGGGAAGGTGTCTTAAGATTTGGGTTTATTTCTCATTATCCTACCCGAATTTGATTAGGAATGGATTAATTTTCCTGTCGAGTCGAGTCTACTTTGCCCACGATGGTAAGTGGGGAATGATCTCTCCCTTAGCTTGACCTGTGAGCCTTTTCTTGTTGTATTTTCCCTCCCCTGTGCAGTTGAGAAGAGGGAGTCAGGGAGTGGCTGGAGGGGCACCTGGAATCCAGCCCATCATGAGGTTTCTGGAAGTCTTTCCCCTTCCTTTCTGTCGCAGGAAACGTGTCAATTGGGTATTCAAAGTAGTAGATGTGCTGGGGAAGTGTTCAGTAAATGTTTGATATTTCTCCAGTGCTTTATACTCCCATGGGAGAGTGGGTACTGTGTGAAAACAAACAAACAAAACCCCAAACAAAACCAACAGCGACAACAAAACCCAGCAAAACCCTTCTGAAAATATTTGATCATTGATTTTAATGGTAAAAAATTGGAGGCACTTGAAGCTGTGAACATTTTGCCTTCATTCCAAAAGAAGCAGAATCAGTCTGTGGAACAAATTTCCCCTTCTCCCCTCTGCTGTTTGTGGTTTCTAAGTTGACAGTACCTTAAGGTTTTCTTCTCTCGTTATTTTGGTGCCTTGAGCGTCACAGGTTCTTGTGAGAAAAGACTAAATGCACATTAAAGGAATCATTTTACCATTCTGTGTGGAGTGGATTCAGTGTTCACTCAGTATCCCTCTTGTTTAAGTTGAAGGGCACAGAGGCCCACCAAAGGCTGCTTGCAGTTGGTTAATATTTATTAGTTTTCAATATTTCATGTAGATGAATCCCTGATCATTCCAGAATCAGCTGCAGGCCTGCAGCATCCCATGAGACCAAAATTTGCTGTGTGAGCAATGTAGGATTTAAGGCGTGAAAAAGCTGAAGGGTTGCTCTTCAAATTGGGAATGTTTAACCTGAATCTTCAACCACCACTTTAAATATTAAACCTATATAGCTGTACAAAGGAACAGATCCCGCTTTCCACCAAAATTCATTGGTCTCCTTCCAAAAACGACGTTCACAAGTTTTCTATTTTGGATGCAAAGTAACATGAGTGACATGGTTGTTTTTTCCATATCACTTAGGCTTTGTAAGAAACTGGGTTTCCATCCAGAAATAAATGCCATGTGAGTTCATGCAGCACCTGTATGGCCACTAAACGCTGGGACATTGCAAAGTCCACATCTATCACCACTATACATTGCACAGCCCACTAAAGAGGGCTCAGTTACCTTTCTGACCTCTCTGATGGTGCTGGCTAATTGCCACCTTGGTGTCCATTAACCACTGGTGGTGTAAATCAGGTATGAAGAGTGGAAACGTCTCTTCTTTTCCAAATGCTAAAATTAAAAACATCCTCTTCTCTCCCCCTCCCTTGGAAACAGGTTCAAAGCTGCCTGGTAAATTTAGGTCAAATTCCCAGTCATTTAGGTGAATAAACTATTCATTAAAAAAAAAAAAAAAAAGGCATTTAATTGGTTCAAACCCCAAGAATGGGATATTCTCGAAGGTCTCTGCTGTGAAAGGTGTTTCAGACAGGTAACACAATCCCAGAACTGCAGGTGAATAAACCCTGTCAAACAGAGAGCTAAAGGTAACAAACACAGCCCTGTTCTCAGGGCGCAGAAAGCAAAGCCCTGCTTCACACAGCTGCTCGTACTTTGTTTCTCTTGTCAGAGCTCTGATCAAGGGAATCCATGGGAATTCAGGATGCTGAGCATCTCACAGACCCGAACTAAAGATCTGCTTTGGGTTCCCCCGAGAGCAAATCTGTGCCAAGAGCCTGCTTGTGAATTCGTGCACAGAAAGACATTTTGCTGCTCTGTGAAAAGGTCTAATTTAATTTCCCTTCCATAAAGTGGCCTCATTCTCAATATCATTCTTATTCTTATTCTGAGTTGACTGCCTTTTCCCAAGGTTGGTTTGGAAGTGACTGAATCTAAACCAGATTAAGTTTTACGGTGGCATGAAAGGAATTGTACATGTGGAGTTAGCCTAGTTTAACCACACTTCATGCTAATTAAAGCAGTCTATATAGAAGTGTTTTTTTCCACAGAGCAGTCTCCATTCATGCATCTACATTTTTAGCATCAGTGTCGACTCGTGAATTCCTCCTCAGTGAATCCACGGAGGGCCTGGTGACAATTTTTTTTTTTTTCCCCCAGTAGTTTTGTGGAGAATCCTGATTTTTTGATGGCTTTTCAACTTTGTTTCGTTTGCTTAATTGGAATATTTTGTTCCCATGAAAAATGTAACCTTAGAATTATTAGATTGAAATTATATATATATATATGATATCTGATCATCTTGTCAGTGAGAGGCTGAATGAGCACCGATAGATCTCCTGAGGGTGAGGAAAGTCCTGTCCAGAACAGGCAGAGAGTGATAAAAAGGTTATAGTCCAAAAAATGACAACAGACAGGACGCAAAGATACTGAATATTCATGGTGGGATTCGGCTGCACCACGTTGGAATTCCCTGAAACTACAAATGAGCTTTTCAAGAGTCCTTTTGAACTCTGCAGTGCTCTCTCTTCTGCACTCACAGAATGGCTTTTTGGTGACGGCTGTGCTTTAGTCACGAGGATGTGAGTGTGTATTTGTTTATGCTACCCCCTCCAGCTTGTGGTTTTATTTATAGCAGGTGCTGCACCACCGAGGAGCAGCAATAATTCACAAACATCCCCCCCGCCCTCCACACAACTCTCCAAGACAAAAAATGCTGGTTTTTTTCACATTAATTAGTTACATTTCAGGTGACAGTAGCAGCTTCCCTGTCCTCTAATGTGCTTTGAGTTTTCAGGTGGAATTTGCCATATTTGAACTGCTGTAAGAACTGAGATATTTCTGAGATATTTCTCTTTCTGGGTTATCCCACATGTGTCCTGATTTGTTGAAACCCAATCCTTTGGGCCACTGGTGGGTTTCTACTGGTGTAAAAAGATCAGTGTAAAACTGATATTTAAGGCATAAATCACATCAAAAGTCTCTGTGTCCTACCTTTAAATAAGGAGACGTACAGAAGTGGCCAAAGGTTGTGGAAAATCCTTAATTTGCTCAGATATTTTACATGATCAGTAGAGGAAAAAATTTAGATATCAGTAAAAAAAAAACAAACAACAAAACAAAAACACCACCAAATAAAACTTTGGAGGGATTTGTTTCAGCAACAGGAATTTTGCTGTCCCAGAGTGGGAATCTTTGCTCATGAAGGGAGTTGGGTGCTGTCACATCCCTTTCTCCCATCATAAGGCAAAACTGACTCTGAAAAACACACTGAGATCCACAAAAATGATGTAAATGAAAAATTTATACTCAAAATCTCCCCCCTCCAGTGGAACAAAAGCTGGAGGATTTACCCAGGAGGCTCATTTAAAACAGAGGGTGTGAGGCTGAAGATGTGGCAGCCCCAGGATTCCCACACTTTTGGCTTAGTTTGGGGATTTTTACAGCTGTTCATGGGACATTTTTCCATTGGCTGTGAGGGAAAACACCCAAAAAATACAAAAAAACCCCAAGGATGACCTGTGCAATTCCAACCCCAATACTCAGCTAAGGCAATGAATTCTCTGCATTTGTGTTTCAAAAAAAACCGTGGATTTCAGAAGAAAATACTCAAAACTTTAAATTGTTCATTGGGTGATGCCATGAAAATTAATTTTAAAGTCTTTTGTGCCTTAGAGTTTGATATCCAGTAATCTTACGTTTTCCAAGTGTTAACAAATGCTGGTTTGGTTTTCTTGTTGAAAATTGCTTTGAATTATAATACTTTTATCACAAATTCCATCTCCTGTGGCAATTATTTCTGTGCAGGGTGCTGTATTTACCTTTATGGGTTTGGGCCCATCTCCCTCGAAAATTTTGCCTTTGGAAGCTCGTTTTCATTTCCACTTTTTCTTCCAGTAGTCCCTGGCAGGACTCAAAGTGTTAATAAAACACTTGTTTGTGGTCATTAGTTTTCTTTAACAGCTCTTCCCTCACACAGCAGTGTGATAAAAGACTAAAAGGATGATTTATTTCCTTTTTTTTTCTGATGGTGTTTTATACAATTTGAAAGCACTGCATACACAGTGCCAGAAAAACAAACAAACAAACAAACAAACAAACAAAACCCAACAAGCCTGTGGGGGGAAAAAAAATCACTTCAAATAATCCAATTCTTTTAAAAGAATTTATACCTTTAGTATATTTAATAATATTAATCTCAGTGTGATCTGGGACACTTAATGCTGTGTGGACATGTCCAGTTGCTTGGAAATGTGCCATTTGCTATTATAGCCATCTGCTGTAATAATCTGATTTATTTTTCAGCAGTTTTCAGCGGACAAGGTTGGGAACACCCTGACACAGTGACATGAGTCAGACCCAGACAAGTGTCTCCCATCTGCTGCCCTGCTGGCCCATGAGACATGTTATGAAATATTAGATGGGTTTTTTTCCACTTTCATTTCCAAATCTTGCATTATTTCCCAGCTGGGCCCACAGGCAGCAAAAAAAAAAAAAAAAAAAAAAAAAAAAAAA